TATATTTACTAAAATAATTGTATTTCCATGTTGTGTGTACTGTGGGAGAGCGGATATAGTGAATGCAGGGTCCGGGGTGAGCGAATATAGTGAATGCAGGGTCCGGGGAGAGCGGATATAGTGAATGCGGGGTCCTGGGAGAGCGGATATAGTGAATGCGGGGTCCGGGGAGAGCAGATATAGTGAATGCGGGGTCCGGTGAGAGCGGATATAGTGAATGCGGGGTCCGGGGGAGAGCGGATATAGTGAATGCGGGGTCCGGGGAGAGCGGATATAGTGAATGCGGGGTCCAAGGAGAACGGATATAGTGAATGCGGGGACCGGGGAGAGCGGATATAGTGAATGCGGGGTCCGGGGAGAGCGGATATAGTGAATGCGGGGGCCAGGGGAGAGCGGATATAGTGAATGCGGGGTCCGGGGAGAGCGGATATAGTGAATGCGGGGTCCGGGGAGAGCGGGTATAGTGAATGCGGGGTCCGGGGAGAGCGGATATAGTGAATGCGGGGTCCGGGGAGAGCGGATATAGTGAATGCGGGGTCCGGTGAGAGCGGATATAGTGAATGCGGGGTCCGGGGAGAGCGGATATAGTGAATGCGGGGTCCGGGGAGAGCGGATATAGTGAATGCGGGGTCCGGGGAGAGCGGATATAGTGAATGCGGGGTCCGGGGAGAGCAGATATAGTGAATGCGGGGTCTGGGGAGAGCGGATATAGTGAATGCGGGGTTCGGGGGAGAGCGGATATAGTGAATGCGGGGTCCGGGAAGAGCGGATATAGTGAATGCGGGGTCCGGGGAGAGCGGATATAGTGAATGCGGGGTCCGGGGAGAGCGGATATAGTGAATGCGGGGTCCGGGAAGAGCGGATATAGTGAATGCGGGGTCCGGGGAGAGCGGATATAGTGAATGCGGGGTCCGGGAAGAGCGGATATAGTGAATGCGGGGTCCGGGGAGAGCGGATATAGTGAATGCGGGGTCCGGGGAGAGCGGATATAGTGAATGCGGGGTTGCGGGGAGAGCGGATATAGTGAATGCGGGGTCCGGGGAGAGCGGATATAGTGAATGCGGGGTCCGGGGAGAGCGGATATAGTGAATGCGGGGTCCGGGGAGAGCGGATATAGTGAATGCGGGGTCCGGGGAGAGCGGATATAGTGAATGCGGGGTCCGGGGAGAGCGGATATAGTGAATGCAGGGTCCAGGGTCCCCATCAGAAATCCCCATTATATCAGGGTCCTCATCAGAGTGCCCCCTTACATTAATGTTCCCATCAGAGTCCCCCCTTACATCAGCGCGCTGCCCCTGCAACTGTCCACAGCAGATTGCAGCTCCCAGTGCCTGGCTGCTTTGAGCAGCCCGGGGATCATGTGACTGCTATGAGATCACATAATCACAATGCCAACAAAACAGCTATAAATAAATGTCAATCATAACAGCTGTGTTTCCTACAGTGATGCTCTGATTGGCCCTCCGCTATCACATGATACCTGGGCCAATCACAGCACCCTGTACCATGTGATTAGCTGTAGCCAATCACAGATCGCTAGTTGTTAGGAATGTAACTCGTTCATGACAGTTCAAAACATTGCTGTTACAGTGTTCATCATTGTAACAGCAATCAAACAGTACAAAAAAAATGTCCCTGATCACCCCACCAGAGTAGTATGGTGTTACTATGGTGGCACTGAACTACTCTGATGAAAATATGTAAAAAAAACAATATTAAAAAAAGAAAAAAAGTTTCAAAAATGTTTTAAAAATGGAATAAAAAATTATTATTTTTTACATACTGTCACCAGTCAGTGTTCCTGATCACTTCCATACCAGTCATAGGATGCCGCTGTACTGCTCTGGTGACAGGATGTAAAAAAATAAATTGTGAAAACATTTTCTTCGTTTTCCAAAAAAATTGTGACAAAAAAAATTAGAACTTCAAAAAAACTCGCCATACCTCTTAACCACTTCCTGTCCGGTCGCAGTATATAAACGGCTGGATGGTGGCATTCCAGGGGTGGGTCACCCAGTGATCAGTGATCACATGCAGAGTAGTAAGCAAGATGTCACTTGTGACATCATTGCTTTCTACGTGTGAAATCTGTGAATGATCACCGAGGTCACATGGTACAGGGCCATTCACAACAGCCTTGTACCATGTGACAAGCTGTGACCAATCACAGCTCTCACAGTATTTCTCAATGGCTGCAAGAATGCAGCCAGAGAGGAAAAAAAAATGATTGCTTTTACAGCTTTTATGGGTGTAAAAGCAATCAGTGGAAAAAAGAAATAAAATCTTCATCACCCCCCACAAGTAGTACAGTGTCACCATGGTGACACTGTACTGCTAGGGTGACAGTATGTTAAAAAACAAAAAAAAACAAATAATAATTTTTTTTTTAAATAAAATTTTTTTTTTTTTAAATTATAATTTTTTGCTTATTATCTAATTTGGTTTTTTTTTTTTCTAAAAAGATAACAAAATACATTTTTGGCTAAGATTTATGATGAAATATTATTTATTTGCAAAATTTTATAAGAAAAACACTTTTTTTCAAAATTTTTGGACTTTTTCATTTATATAGCAAAAGAAAAAAAATTCCAGCAGTGAATAAATACCACCAAAATAAAGCTTTATCTGTCTAAAAAAAATGCTAAAAAAATTCATATGGGTACAGTGTTGCATGACCGCGCAATTGTCATTCAAAGTGTGATAGTGCTGAAAGCTGAAAATTGGCCTGGAGAGGAAGGGGGGAAAGTGTCCGGACTGGAAGGGGGGTGAAAGTGTCCGGACTGGAAGGGGGGGAAAGTGTCTGGACTGGAAGGGGGGTAAATGGGTCCGGACTGGAAGGGGGGAAAGTGTCTGGACTGGAAGGGGGGAAAGTGTCCGGACTGGAAGGGGGGTGAAAGTGTCCGGACTGGAAGGGGGGTAAAATGGGTCCGGAATGGAAGGGGGGAAAGTGTCTGGACTGGATGGGGGGGGGGAAAGTGTCCGGACTGGAAGGGGGGTAAATGGGTCCGGACTGGAAGGGGGGGAAAGTGTCCGGACTGGAAAGGGGGGGAAAGTGTCCGGACAGGAAAGGGGGTGAAATTGTCCGGACTGGAAGGGGGTGAAAGTGTCCGGACTGGAAGGGGGGTGAAAGTGTCCAGACTGGAAGGGGGGGAAAGTTTCCGGACTGGAAGGGGGGGAAAGTTTCCGGACTGGAAGGGGGGGAAAATGTCTGCACTGGAAGGGGGGGAAAGTGTCCGGACTGGAAGGGGGTGAAAGTGTCCGGACTGGAAGGGGGGAAAGTGTCCGGACTGGAAGGGGGGGGGAAAGTGTCCGGACTGGAAGGGGGGGGGAAGTGTCTGGACTGGAAGGGGGGGAAAGTGTCCGGACTGGAAGGGGGGTGAAACTGTCCAGACTGGAAGGGGGGTAAAATGGGTCCGGACTGGAAGGGGGGGAAAGTGTCCGGACTGGAAGGGAGGGAAAGTGTCCGGACTGGAAGGGGGGGAAAGTGTCCGAACTGGAAGGGGGGGAAAGTGTCCGGACTGGAAGGAGGTGAAAGTGTCCGGACTGGAAGGGGGGGAAAGTGTCCGGACTGGAAGGGGGGGGGGAAAGTGTCCGGACTGGAAGGGGGGTGAAAGTGTCCGGACTGGAAGGGGGGTGAAAGTGTCCGGACTGGAAGGGGGGTAAATGGGTCCGGACTGGAAGGGGGGGAAAGTGTCTGGACTGGATAGGGGGGGAACAGTGTCCGGACTGGAAGGGGGGGGGGAAGTGTCCGGACAGGAAGGGGGTGAAATTGTCCAGACTGGAAGGGGGGTAAATGGGTCTGGACTGGAAGGGGGGGAAAGTGTCCGGACTGGAAGGGAGGGAAAGTGTCCGGACTAGAAGGGGGGAAAGTGTCCGGACTGGAAGGGGGGAAAAGTGTCCGGACAGGAAGGGGGTGAAAAGTTGTCCGGACTGGAAGGGGGGGAAAGTGTCCGGACTGGAAGGGGGTGTAAGTGTCCAGACTGGAAGGGGGGTAAATGGGTCCGGACTGGAAGGGGGGGAAAGTGTCTGGACTGGATGGGGGGGAAAGTGTCCAGACTGGAAGGGAGGGAAAGTGTCCGGACTGGAAGGGGGGGAAAGTGTCCGGACTGGAAGGGGGGTGAAAGTGTCCGGACTGGAAGGGGGGTAAATGGGTCCGGACTGGAAGGGGGGAAAGTGTCTGGACTGGATGGGGGGGGGGGGAATGTGTCCGGACTGGAAGGGGGGGTGAAAGTGTCCGGACTGGAAGGGGGGTAAATGGGTCCGGACTGGAAGGAGGTGGAAAGTGTCCGGACTGGAAGGGGGGGAAAGTGTCCGGACTGGAAGGGGGGGAAAGTGTCCGGACTGGAAGGGGGGTGAAAGTGTCCGGACTGGAAGGGGGGGTAAATGGGTCCAGACTGGAAGGGGGGGGAAAGTGTCTGGACTGGATGGGGGGGAAAGTGTCCGGACTGGAAGGGGGGGGGGGAAAGTGTCCGGACAGGAAGGGGGTGAAATTGTCCAGACTGGAAGGGGGTGAAAGTGTCCGGACTGGAAGGGGGTGAAAGTGTCCGGACTGGAAGGGGGTGAAATTGTCCGGACTGGAAGGGGGTGAAAGTGTCCGGACTGGAAGGGGGTGAGAGGGGTGTCCGGACTGGAAGGGGGTGAAAGTGTCCGGACTGGAAGGGATTGAAAGTGTCCGGACTGGAAGGGGGTGAAAGTGTCCGGACTGGAAGGGGGGAAAGTGTCCGGACTGGAAGGGGGGGAAAGTGTCTGGACTGGAAGGGGGGTGAAAGTGTCCAGACTGGAAGGGGGGTAAATGGGTCCGGACTGGAAGGGGGGGGAAAGTGTCTGGACTGGATGGGGGGGAAAGTGTCCGGACTGGAAGGGAGGGAAAGTGTCCGGACTGGAAGGGGGGGAAAGTGTCCGGACAGGAAGGGGGTGAAAGTGTCCGGACTGGAAGGGGGTGAAAGTGTCCAGACTGGAAGGGGGTGAAAGTGTCCAGACTGGAAGGGGGGGAAAATGTCTGGACTGGAAGGGGGGGAAAGTGTCCGGACTGGAAGGGAGGGAAAGTGTCCGGACTGGAAGGGGGGGAAAGTGTCCGGACTGGAAGGGGGGGAAAGTGTCCGGACAGGAAGGGGGGGTGAAATTGTCCGGACTGGATGGGGGTGAAAGTGTCCGGACTGGAAGGGGGTGAAAGTGTCCGGACTGGAAGGGGGGAAATGTCTGACTGGAAGGGGGGGAAAGTGTCCGGACTGGAAGGGGGTGAGAGTGTCCGGACTGGAAGGGGGTGTAAGTGTCCGGACTGGAAGGGGGGAAAGTGTCCGGACTGGAAGGGGGTAAATGGTCCGGACTGGAAGGGGGTGAAAGTGTCCGGACTGGAAGGAGGTGAAAGTGTCCGGACTGGAAGGGGTTAATCTGAAAGCATTCAAAAACGCTGATCTTGGTGTTTTTGAATGCTTTTAAGTGCAGAGGAGGAACCACATAAAGTGGTTAATAAAGACCTTGGACCATCTAATTTCCAAAGAGGGGTCATTTGGGGGGGGGGAGGGGGGGGGGTATTTTAACTGCCCTGACATTTGACACTCTCCATCCCTTTTAGAAATATTTAACCCTTTGGGAGTGTCTCACCAGAATTTTTTTTTTGTTGCAGGGGATGCCCAAAATCTGACTCGTATCTTAGCGCAGACTTCTTGGAAAATCGGTAAGCCAATCACACAGCAGGAAATTACATTTCTAGGGGGGGGGGTCTGTATACGCCATATTGCAGGAAATCGCAGCAGCTGCTCAATGACAAGGAAAGGTCTTTTTTAATAACATTCAATTACAAAGCGACTTGTGTAGAAATTGTGTTTTTTTTTTTGTTTTGTTTTTCTTCTTTTTTTCCCCACAAAGGTGAAGGGACCTTTTTAGGGTTTTTATTATTTATAATTTCACATCTCTTGTATTTTATGAATTGGGTATCTATAAATACTGTTTGTGGGTAATAGATCTTTGATATGGATTGATTGGTTGGGGTGGTGAGCGCTGCTTCTGGTCGTGTTTGTCGCACCCGCAGGATATCGCAGCGGCGGCAGCTTCTCTCATTCGTTTTTGTGGTTAATTATTCCAAAGCGCAGATTCCATTATTAATGAAGTTCTAAGTTCTCTGGGTGATATTAGCATTGAAGAAGACATAATAATGTGTGCAAAGAGCAGAATTCACTGTCTGCGCCTCTGTTAAGTGCTATGAAATCCGCATTTTTTATGCGCTTTGAGCGGCTGATTTAATCACTGACTATGTGGGGTGTTTTATCTTTAACACCTTCCTGCCCGGCCTATTGTAAAATGATGGCTGAGCGGGACTTTCCTCGTCATATGACGTCCTCCCAAATTGCACCTTGCGGACATGCTGCAGGCGGGTGGGTCCATCCGCTGCTGGTACCATGTGATAGCTGTGACCAATCACAGCAGACCACATGACGGTTGTTAATAATAACTTGCTTCAATTCATGCCTTTTTGTTGTGTGCCATTGTGTTGCTAGCTGTGATTGGTCACAGTGATCGCTGCAGGTGCGTTCTGTCACCAGCTGTGTCCACCCGCTGCCAGTACAATGTGATAGCTGTGACCAATCACAGCAGATCACATGACAGTTTTTAACAATGCCTGGCTTCAATTCATGCCATTCGTTGTGTGCAATTGTGTTGCTAGCCGTGATTGGTCACAGTGATCGCTGCAGGTGCGTTCTGTCACCAGCTGGGTACATCCGCTGCCAGTACAATGTGATAGCTGTGACCAATCACAGCAGACCACATGACAGTTGTTAATAATAAATTGCTTAAATTCATGCCATTCATTGTGTACAATTGTGTTGCTAGCTGTGATTGGTCACAGTGATCGCTGCAGGTGCGATCTGTCACCAGCTGTGTCCACCACCTGCCACTACCATGCGATAGCTACAACCAATCACAGCAAATTATATGACAATTGTAAACAATGAATGGCTTCAATTCATGCCATCCATTGTGCACAATTGTGTTGCTAGCTGTGATTTGTCACAGTGATCCCATGGTACAGACAGGACCAATCACAGCTCATCTGTACCATGTGATTAGCTGTGGCCAATCACACCTAGTTATAACAATACATTCAAAATTAAACTATTTTGTTTAGTAAACATGCTTGCTTTTTCTTTTCACTGCTGTAAGCAATCACAATGTGTAACAAAAAAAAAAAAAAAAGAAAAATCCTGATCACTTTCCTAGAGTAGTACAATGTTACTATGGTAACATTACATTGCTCTGGTCACAGTGTGTTAAAAAAATACTTTAAAAAAAAGAAAAAAAATGTAATAAAATAGAAAAAAAAGTAAAAAAAAAAAGTTTAAAAATTATAACTTTTTTTTTTCATATTGTCACCAGTCAGTATCCCTGAACACCGCCACACCAGGTATATAATGACGCTGCACTGCACTGATAGTATGTAACAAAAAAAAAGTACATTTTTTTTCATAATTTCTTCATTTTCCCAAAAATTGTGACAAAAAATTACAACTTTAAAAACACGTCATGCCTCTTAGTAAATACCGCAGACTGTCTACTTTCCAAAAAGGGGTCATTTCGGGGGGATTTGTACTGTGCTGACATTTGGGGGGATTTGTACTGTCCTGTCAGTGGAGGGATTAATAGAGAGGGGTGGAGGACACTGAGTGAAGGTCAATGGAGGGATTGGCAGAGAGGGGTGGAGGACACTGAGCGGTCAGTGGAGAGATTGGCAGAGAGGAGTGGAGGACACTGAATGGAGGTCATTGGAGGGATTGGCAGAGAGGGGTGGAAGACACTGAATGGAGGCCAGTGAAGGGATTGGCAGAGAGGGGTGCAGGACACTGAATGGAGGCTAATGAAGGGATTGGCAGAGAGGGGTGGAGGACACTGAGTGGAAGGCAGTGGAGAAATTGTCAGAGAGGGGTGGAGGACACTGAGTGGAGGCCAGTGGAGGGATTGGCAGAGAGGGGTGGAGGACACTGAGTGGAGGAAGCTGATGGAGGGATTGGCAGAGAGGGGTGGAGGACACTTAGTGGAGGAAGCTGAGTGGAGGGATTGGCAGAGAGGGGTGAAGGACAGTGAGGGGAGGTCAGTGGAGGGATTGGCAGAGAGGGGTGGAGGACACTGAGTGGAGGTCAGTGGAGGGATTGGCAGAGAGGGGTGGAGGACACTGAGTGGAGGTCAGTGGAGGGATTGGCAGAGAGGGGTGGAGGACACTGAGTGGAGGTCAGTGGAGGGATTGGCAGAGAGGGGTGGAGGACAATGAGTGGAGGTCAGTGGAGGGATTGGCAGAGAGGGGTGGAGGACAATGAGTGGAGGTCAGTGGAGGGATTGGCAGAGAGGGGTGGAGGACAATGAGTGGAGGTCAGTCCATCTGCACATGTGCAGGGTTTCCCATGCATAAGCAAAGACGGCTTTAAGGGAATTCCCAATTGTTGCTGTCTCTGTCATGCACAGGAAATCACGCGCACAAATGTGCTGAAGAGCTCTGCCAGGACCTGAAAGCTGAGCATGTCTCCACAATAATGGTGGCAGCAGAGGAGGGGAACCAGTACCGGGCAGGTATTCCTCTTTAAAGTGGAACTCCACTCTCTCAATCAGAATTGACTATTTTTAATCCTTATCCTGCTAGCATTAGTAAATAGATAGGAAGGGAGATTCGATTTACTGGTTTTAAACTGTGTGTGTGTGTCCATTCCCTCCACTCAGGTCTCAGATTACACTCAGCTCTATGTTCTGGGTGACATCACATCCCCACCCCCTGCCTGCTGGAGCTTAGAAATGCTGTATACATTCTGGATGTAGAGGAGAGAGGTCCGCAGATAAACAGGTACAACTTATGTAAGAGGATTTGTTGAATCCTCGTGTCTCACTGGAGGCCGGTCACTGCACTGGGGATATGGAAGGGTTTACATCCATTTTGAAAATGAGGCGAATCTTCTCCTGCAGGCTACAGACCTCTTGGCTACATTTAGGATATATGTTGATCGGTATGAAAAGACGAATCTCACTTTCATTTCTGAAAAGCTATCAGAGTCATTGTGGGAACAGAAGTAGAATGGAATGATATCAGAGCTGGGCGAGGCGGAGGACTCCAGTTCTATGTGATATGACTGACACCAGGTACAGTATGATGAATGGAGGAGGTGGAGATGTACAGTGCCGGTACATCGATGTTCTGATTCTAGGCCTCAATGGCCAATCTCCATCCGAAGACTCTTCTTCCATCTCCATGGACATCCCACCCTATAGAGCTCAGAACACGCAGCTCTGCACCTTCTTATCTGATTGGAAAGGCGACATTGAAAACGGCTGGATTAGCTGGAAGTAGGAAGAACCTCTATGAGGGAGAACAAAGGAGGCCGCCGAGGACAGTGACTGCGGATCCATCAGAGACGGGTGACTCCGGGGGCGAGGGCCGGGAGATAATGAAAGGGACTAGCGGCTCGATGTGACGATCGTAGCGAGGCATCATCTGAGAAATCATTTGCTCTTTCACTTGCACCTTTTCGGTTTGATGGATTTGTCTTTTCAATCAGCAGGGAGGGGGGGGGGGGGGGGGGAGGGGTCACGATGAATACAAAAAAAGGATTATTCGGCAACTTGTAATACTAAACCAATTAAAAGCAGCAATTTTATAGGGAAATTGTAACTAGAATTAAAAATACTGTTGTTGCAAAAATGTAACTTTGTTGAACGCAACTGGATTTGCTCTTTAAAGAGTGAACTGCACTTGGATCGCTCTTCAGAGAGCATTGGACAGGCCATGAGGAGGCGTTGTATTGCCTCCTTACTGCCTTTTTTAACCCCTAGTTATCATGCAGTGCACAAGGTTCCACAGGGGCCCCGCTCGTTTGAATGGGTCTCGTTTGGTGGGTATGTTTACAGAAAGCGTCAGGTGGTATCATTCCTGCTGCGATCACAGCTCTGGCATGTGTACACCCCCAGAAATTGGGGAGTTATAATAGCAAGGCTCAACCGCTGGGTTTTAACCACCCTCCAAGTCCTTAGATTGTCCTGTGGGGGTTGTGCTGATATTTGTGGCAGTTGTGGAGCCATTGCTAGTCCAAGAAAAAAAATCTGTTCTAGGCCCTGAAGAGTCCATTTACTAGATAAAGAGATAACTTGACCTTGATAACCATGATCAATAAAGACCAGTCCATGATGACCATGATCAATAAAGACCAGTCCATGATGACCATGATCAATAAAGACCAGTCCATGATAGCCATGACCAATAAAGACCATTCCTTGATGGCCATGATCAATAAAGACCATTCCATGATGGCCATGATCAATAAAGACCATTCCATGAGGACCATGATCAATAAAGACCAGTCTTTAATGGCCATGAACAATAAAGACCATTCCTTGATGGCCATGACCAAT